ATACATTATACATACAGTGTATAATGTATTGCTGGGATTTGTATTCACATGTATAATATACAGCACAATGTACCATATCCCAGCAATACATTATAGAGCACCATGTGTGGGAAAGTGCAGTCTTCCAGCAACATGCTTCTAAGATCGGACCTGTCTATCAGCGGCTGTCATGCCCCCACACCTGCTCCTCCTTACTACATCTCCCCCCGTCCCTGTGCCGATCGTGGATGTGGGCGGGGAGGAGGTGCGGCGTGAAGAGCGTGGATGCTGGAGGGCACGTCTGGCAGCGGCGAGCGTGAGGTGGGGGTGGAGGTGCGGCGCTCAGCGTGTGTGGAGCCGTGAACCGGGCCAACTGATCAGAAGCCGATTAATCGATTTATTGAAAAAGTTGCCAACTTTTTCAATAATCGATGATGTCGATTAGTTGTTGCAGCCCTAAACAGCGGTTTTGCGTCCGGGTTCATGGACTGTGTTCTAGGAAATTGACTCTTTCTGAAACAGTCAAATTTGCTAACCATTTCAGGGGGCACATTGTAAGTATAGAAGGGAAAAACACTGCAAGTAAGCATTTAACATACTTGATTTTGTTTAGTGCATTTTCCTGCAATTTAATAAGTTAGTGACAGGGTCTCAAGACTATTGCAGAAACGTCACCAGCACACCAAATCCTTATAGGATCAAAGCCAATGCCTTTGCTATGCCTGATGAAGGGACCCTGTGTGGCCCCGAAAGCGCTTGTGTAACTGACATGATAGTGATGGAAGTGCCTTGTTTAATGCCTATCTCGATATAGCCTGAGATCTTGTGGGTAAGACTAGCCAAAAAAAATCAGTTCCATGTACAAAAACCTGCAGTCAGTCTGCAAACATTGTAAGGCCAGGTCCACCCTGTTGTACTGCAACGCATATTCTGCTTGATGGTGCACTGTGGGGCACCCTAATGCATTAATTTAATTATACAGGATTTATAAAGCGCCAAAAGTTTGCACAGCGCTTTTCAAAACTGAAGGAAACTATACAATGAACAATACATTTTCAGTACAGGAGGTAGGGCCCAAAGGTAATAATTGTTTGGGATGATTTAATAAAAGAACTTAAAGTACAGTTATATCGAGGTGGAAGAGGCTTCCCTGAAGAGACAAGTTTTCAAGGATCGCCTAAAGGTGGACAGAGTAGGAGATAAGAGGACAGATTGGGGTAGGGAGTTCCAGAGAAAGGGAGACACTCTGAAAAAGTCCTGGAGGCGAGCATGCAAGCAGGTGACGAGAGCAGGAGGTTTTGGGAGGTACGAAGGGGGCAATTTGGGTGATATTTTTGGGAATGGATCTGTGCTTGGTGTTGAGCAGCGTTCCGAATCTCAACACAGGACATTTAACCCTAGTGGCACATTCATTTAAAAATATAAAATGACACTCGCATCTATTACTGTTTTATGCAGTCTGACCATGTTACAGTTATTGTAAAAACAAGTGTTTCTGCATTTCCTAGATTCCAGTAATGCCTCACACTTGGTTTGTAGGCCTTGTTAATGTAAGAACTACTTTCAGCAGCTGCATTTTACTCACCTGTATAAGAAAATAAGCCTCATCATGGGCCTCTGAGTCCCTGTTCTCACCTAGGTATTTTATGCGTGAGCAGATGCGGGCCTAGACACGCAAAACATAAAAGGCAATGCATTCCTATGGGGTTTGTTCACGTCTGCGCATTTCTATGCACGCGCAACGCATGTTCACATGTCCTAGTCACATGTTCAGGAAGTAAAGGGACATATATTAATATGCGCTTAGCATGGCCACTGCCAGGAGAAGAAAAGAGAAATAAAGTATGCAAAGAATACAGAGCCGGCAATTATCTAGAAGTATGTGTTTGTAGATTTTGTGTGTCGTTATGTTAAATATGTTGGTAAATTTGTTGTGTGATGAAATTAATAAAAAAACATGGTTAGCCTAAAAAAGATGTTTGTGCTTAAAGATGTCATATCTCGGGACACTCTGGTACTCTATCTTTCAGAAGGGATTGATGAGAAGATCTCTGACTTTCTCTCTATTGACCCTTTACTGTTTTGAGAGAAATGTAGATACTGTATTATCATTGCTGACTCCTGCTAGCTGTCATGTACATGTTCAGGTTTCAATACTTTGCGTCAGGGCCGTAGGAAGGGTGAGGCACACGCCTCGAGCGTAACTGCGAGGGGGCTGGATCTGGTGCCCAGCGGGGGGAAGAGGAGGGCAGGTGCATTGCGATTTGGATGCAGTGCTGATCGCCTCGCATTACCATCTCGCTCACGTGCGGCTCTGCCACTTATTGTCTGGTTTCCAGGTGTGGAGGGAGTGGAGAGCGGTTGCATTGCTGATCAGTGAATAGACTAGCAGCGCTGCTGGATATTGGCTGGTTCCCAGGAGGGGAGGAGTTGAGGGCGTCTGCAGTGTTGATTGCCTCACTTATTGGCTGATGCATGGAGTTCCCAGCTGGCGATTGGCTGTCAGGTAATACTGCTTAAAACCAGCGGAAAACTGCACCAGCCAATGAAGCATCACACCTTTTGATTCTCACATGACCCCACACACTAAAGCTAAAAAGTGCTGAGAGATGGCAAGGAATACTTGGGGATAAGGGAGACCTGGGAATTAACTAAATATGTAAGGTAATTGGGAGAATTTTCTGCCATAAACTGCTCTATCCCCTCATGAAGTAAGCAATTCAATTGGCAAAGATATATACAAGTACAAATTGTGATCTGGATCACAAGAGAACGTCAATGCGCCTAACGCATTGGGAGTATTTTCTGCATAACCTGCTCTATCCCCATCACCCCTTTAAAAAAATCAATTTTTACTTCTCTTTCCTCTGTCCCTATTTTCAAATGATTTCTGCTCTGTCCCCATCACCCCTTTAAAAATCTCCTCCTTTTCTCCTCTTCTCTGTCCATATAACCTACATGTCCCTATCACCCCTTTAAATATCCATTTGACTCCCCTGCGCTGTCTTTATCACTCCATGTCCCCATGCTCTGTCTCTCACCCCCTTAAAATCCATTTTACTCCCCTGCTCTGTCCCTATAACACAATAGACAGTTCTAATATCATTCATTCATTCGTTTGTTTACTTTCCTCAAATGTTCTCACCTCTGGTGCAAAAGGAGCTAGCTTCAGCTCTGCTTCGAGTTACTGACCTGAATCAAATATTCAGATCAAGCCTGTGGAGTGCATCCAGGAGCTAGCATGTAACTATGAACCCTTTAGAAACCAATAAACGTGTTAATACAGCAAGGTAAAAAAAATATATAACAAAAAGCGTCATATCGAATATCTTTACAGTTTTTTTGTCTGCCCCGTGTAAAATGTGTTCTGTTTTTCTGAAGTAATCCAGTCTAGAGAACTGAAAATGAGGAACCTATGGAAGGGACTGACAGATTAATATTAACCTCCCTGGCGGTAATCCCGAGTGTTGCTCGGGGTTAATTTTCAATACCAAAGGCGGTAACCCTGAGCCACACACTCGGGATTACACTGTGCGTCACTTACCTTGTCCACGAGCCGGGCTGTGTCCTCCGGCCGATGCCGGCATCCATCTTCCGTCCCTTGCGAGTGTCCGCGTCGCAGGGGGGCGGAACTGGCGGAAAATTTTAAAAGTAAAAAATAGAAACAAATAGAAAAAAAAACTGAGCTAATCAGACCGCCAGGGAGGTTAAGGGCAGGAATTTGACAAGTAACTTCCATTTTTAACCTATTAGACATTTCTGAGGTACAAGAGCACATGTTTTTATTGAGGCCTAAGAGGGTCTGGGGAGTGGGCAAGTAAGAGACTTTCTTGTTTAAATGTTAGCCAATGTTACAATTCAGCCAATGTTACAATTCAGCCCTGACTGGCTTGTGGAAATTTCAGAATTATAAGGTGCCCCCATGAATGTTGGATGCTTTCTCAGCATTGACTGATAACTTTTTTTTTCATAGACTTCTTATAGTTCAGTTACAGTTTTTAGTGCCGGGTTCCCTAGTGGCATACAAGTGAATAGCTGTTGCAGTTTACAAAGCCATTTGATATAGTGCCTATGGAGCCTGGAAAAGCACATTCTTCTACTACATCTAAGTATGTAAGGATTTCCCCATTTCAGTGACACCTACAGGAGTTAGCATTTTAGACAAATAAGCTTCAATGTCCAGAAAGTACTACATCACTTTCTGGTAGCCGGACTACAGAGGTCTATACTAGGCATGCATCAATACCGATACTAGTATCGGTGCCAATGCTGAGTATTTGGGAGAGTACTCGTACTCGCCTAAATGCTCCGATGCCTAGCCCGATACCTGAGCCTCCGGTATCAGGTTTCCTGATTGGCTGGGAAGCCGGCTCCATGCTCCCTCGTCCCTTGGTGACGAGAGAGCGTGGAGCCGACTTTGTGGCTAATCGGGAAGCTGGGCAGTGTGTAATGACTCGTCACTCGATTTCCTGATTGGTCGGGAAGCTGGCCAACCAGGAAGCTGGACGGCAAATCATTACCTGCTTTCTGATAGGCCACAAAGCCGGCTTCCTGATTGGCCAGAAAGCCGGCACCATGCTTCCTCATTACCAAGTGACGAGGGAACATGGAGGCGGCCTCCCGGCTAATCAAGAAGTCAGGTGGGTGGCGAGTCATTACATGCCGTCTGGCTTCCTTAATGGGACTTCCAGTATCGGTGTTTGGTATCTGCGAGTACCAAAAAAAAAAGAGGAGAGGTGGTGGGGGAGAGCCTGACAGAAATTGGGATTGAGGCATATGTTTCAGTGACAGGGCTCAGCGTTAACAAGGCATAGCTGTGATTTTTTAGTATCTGAGTGGATAGCTTTTTGGTTAATTTTAGCCTACCACATTCTGACTAGTCATGCGTCACATTATTTGTAAAAACCATGCCATGCTAATACATTACTAAAGAAAATGCAATGTATCGGAATGTTTGCCTAAACTTATTTACTGTGTAAGATTACATGGCTAATTAAGTTGCTTTTAATTTTATGTTACAGTTTATTATGGAAGAGGTCTCTAGGAAAAGCAACAGTAGTACAGAGACTGTCCACACCATTTCCTTCCCAGCTACCTTTCAAGCTGCCCAACTTGCTCAACAGGTACAGCTTTCATTTTTTTTCTTTGTTCTTTTTGTACTTTGACAACAAGAATGACAGGAAAACTAAAAATATATCTATGCACATATACCTTTTTAATAAGCAAGCACGCTTGATGGTTATTTTTTGTTTTGTTTTGATCAGCTTAGTGTTGCCTGCTAGAAATGTGTTGGCCTATTTCCCATGCTTCATCTACTGGTCAAAATGCAATATTTTTTTCAGGTCCAATGTATGTAATGTATATCTGAGAGCATTCGTTTTTGCATCTACTCACACAGAATGAACGTTTTAGAAAGATTTACAGGGCAAGTGGCTCTGCAAATTGTTTATAAATAGACCCCATAGTGTAAAACTGTTTTGTTAAACCATTAAAAATGTCACCACTCACTTTTGTGAAGTGCATACAAGCAACAGCAATCGCAGCATATGATTTAAAAACACTCCATCCTTGCAGCAAAGGCAATTCTAATAGGGATGCATCAATACCATTTTTTTTTTTTTTTTAAGACAAGAGTACGAATACTTTTCCTCAAGTACTCGCCAATACCAATTATACCAATTTTTTTGTCATGTGACCGTTTTTCTAAAACAATACAGACTAATGATTTAAGGACAGTGGTGAAGCGCCAGAGCTAGGACCCGGCTGCAACCCTGGTAGTTCTGCCATCGACTCCAAGCTGTAGAGGGACTACCGATCTTAGCAATACATTATACTACAACAGCAGAATGGCACTGACTATAGAGGACTACAAATCCCAGCAATACATTATACAACAATGCAGAACAATAGTATATGAATTTTCTACCTACTCTGTGCTGCATTTCTTCTCCTGAGTGCTGGCCTGATACGGGCAGAGGGTATCAGGAGGGGTGCAGATGGTCTCGGCAGGGAGAGATGTGCTGCCCAGCAAGCGCGGGACCTTACAGCAGCCGCTTTTATTTAAAAAATGTAAATCGCCTGTATCGGTTTTGGGTATCGGCATTTTAACGAGTACTTGTAAAAATGCCCAGTATCGGTGCATCCCTAAACCCTAATGTGCGACTATGTCCTGCCCCAACACAGAGCCATGTAACTTTATAATGTTAAATAATCCCAGTATGTGTAACTAAGCTCCGCCCCAACACAGAGCCATGTGACTTCATCTAGGAGCATATCACTTGCACCTTCCTTCTCGCATATATTGCTCTACAGACTCCGCTCTCTTAAGCCTTCACACTCCTATTCCATACAAACTGCATCAGTCTATATGCAGTTTATAAAAAAAAAATGCATCTCTCTCTCTCTCGCTCGCTCGCTCGCTCGCTCGCTCTCGCTCTCGCGCTCGCTCGCTCCTGGAAAGTGTTCTCTTTCCCTCTCATATATCTCGCTCTCGCTCGCTCCTGGAAAGTGTTCTCTTTCCCTCTCATATATCTCGCTCTCGCTCGCTCCTGGAAAGTGTTCTCTTTCCCTCTCATATATCTCGCTCTCGCTCGCTCCTGGAAAGTGTTCTCTTTCCCTCTCATATATTAACAATCATACCTATGATGATAATTGTGATAAAGAAGTTTAAATCACTACCCACAGTGAACCCTTCAAAAACATTAATACATTGTCAACAAGTAATTTTTTAAGATTGACTGTTTGTTTTTTACATAAATCCCTATATGTATTTCCTCTCATCATGATTCCTAAAATGTAAAAAAACATTGACACATTGTCCTGCAATCCTCTTGCGTAAATTTTGTTTTGTGTGCCCAATATTTTGCAAGCCACACAAGCATTGCGTTATTTTTTAGTGACATGAAATAAAC